AAAGTAACGTCAAACTTGACAATTCATTAGCAAAGTGAATTTATAGTGTATGGGTTTGAGTGACACTTCACAGCTAAATCAAAAATAAGTTTGTGTTTATTCTTTTTATTTTGTGATCCTGAAAAATGGTTAGTAAGCAGGCTTAAAGGAAAATACTTTATGAGTAGAGAAGCTAAGGAGAGAAGAGAAGAGAAAAAACTGGTGTTTAGGATTTGTAGAGCAGATCACAAAATCATGCAGTCACTGATCAAAATCGATTTCCAGAGGTTTTTATACTAGCACCTGTCAGGACTCCATTCCAATGCCATAACTGTGCATACACGTCACAGCATGGGGACCAACAGCAACCAGCAGATGGTCACCAAAAAGGTACACTTGCACGATGACATGCAGACGATACAGCCTGCAGTGGGGTCTCCCATGGCTAAAACCACAAGATGAGCATAGCTGAGGAAGCAAGAGAGCCACTGTGAAAGGATGATTTGTCAATGCAGGTGTCCCATCACGACAATACTGGAAGCGTTTGTAAATGGCATGCCTTACCGCTCTGATTATAGCGTGTGCTCTGCTAAGGTATCCATGGAAACTTAGGAAAAAGATGTTAAATTTGTTAGATCTGTTTGGCACAAGGAATGGGGCCTACCATAACCACAGGTATTTTGATCTTTAAGTACAGAGAAAGCCTCAAGGGCCCTTGAACAAAGATGAAATTTGCAACATTGAATTGTCATGGGAATTTGGGAAATATTTCCCAAACAATGACCAGGAGGTGGCAAAGATGCATTACAGAAACCTGGTTTTATGTCCTCATTATCCCTTACTAGAGAAAAATAGCTCGATTGCTATGAAAAGGAGGGATAGACTAAAATACCCACGTCAGACTTCATGTGGAACAAGAGGAAAAAAGTATGCACACACACAACAGGTGAGCATGGAGCACTCTGAACTCTGAAATCCTTAGACTGAGTACACACAGAGGCTGTGCAAACCTCTAAGGAGTGGTCCTGAAAAGCAATACAGATGTACATGTAAAATATATCTAGAAAGGGACAAACCAAAGCAGTGCTCACAGATGACTCTCTATGCTGCTTGCTTCTCCCCTAAGGAGAATAACTTCCCAAGAAGACTACAGCAGGTTGGGCACATTTCTGCAATACAGAGATAGTCTTCAGAGACTAGAGTAAATAAACTTCCAAAGATTACATAAAATTGTTACTATAAAATTGCAGTCACATACACACTACTCTCTAGACTCCAAATGATAAAAATTGTTTAGAAATGCCTCTCAAAATTCCTAGGAAACTGCATCTCCAGAGCACAGACTGTAAGCGCTGGTCAAAGCGTTCAAGAACCAGTGTCAGAAGAAACAGATGAAGAAAGACCCTCCCCAGGTCTCCTGTACTTGCAAATTGAGATGCTCTGGGAACCGATCTGTGTGCCCAGCATGCTGCAGAGCAGACACAGTAGGGATAATGGGGCCAGCGAGCCCCAAACGACTCCAGCACACGACCAGATCCCAGCAGCGTGCCAGCACCAGGGCAAAGCAATGCCAGAGCGATGCAGTTCCTAAAGCAGTTCTCCCATGTCCTTGACACACCCTTATGCAGCCCTCAGCAAAGGCACTGAGAAAACAAGAACAAAGGCAGTCCAGCCTGAGTGCCGGCCTCCACGTTCTGAGTATTTTCCTTTATTTACTTACTTTTTTATTAGAACTGACTGCATTTTCCTTTTCTTTTACATGAAAACCTTTCTCAAACCCCTCTGAGGCAGGCTTTGAAGGAATTTCCTGTTTTAGTACCCACTGCCATCCTAATTTTAAAACTACTGCAAAGTTACTGCTTTAATAATAGTTACTGACAAAATTTAAAACTTGTATTTGTTTATTTTAAATGCATATCGCTATGTTTCTTAACACAACAGCAAACGGGTCATAGCTGACATATTTTGAGTAACAAAAACTGTGGAAAGTTCTTTTTAAGACCAAAATGTGCCTGGCGACTGAGGAGAGGCAGTTTTAATTTAATGACCGAGGAGCCAGAACATTTGGTAGAGTTAAGAATGAGAAGTCTTCACGTATGTTACAGGCATTTCACATCACTGAAGTCCATACTTGACAGAAGCATTCCCTGAGCGCAATCCCGACGTCTTTGGCCTTACATCACAAAACAGCTGCACACTCTTCAGGAAAACATCTGGGAAGCAAGCAGAACATTTACAGCCATGGCTCATGGACTTCAGAGCTCATCCTGAAACAGATTCCAAGCCCTCCTGGTGTCTCTTTCATCGCTGGGGAAATACATGTACAGCTGGGCAGGTCTGCGCCACAGTGTCGTAACCTGGAGTTTTACCCGTTTCTATTTTCAACTAGCAAGGCTGTTTAACAGGAAAGTGAAAAGCATCAAATATAAGCTGAATATGTAAGCAACTGGTGGTATTTATGGACACACACAAAGAGAAGCAGCTTAGTGAAATCGTTAATGGCAACTCTTCCTCTACTTTACATTAAAATAAATAAATAAAAGGAATAGAGCCAAGCTCCCCCCAAAGGTTTCTTCATACCTACTTATGGTCATGGCTGCTCTTGTTCTTCTCCTTGGAGGACCTGCATTTGAAGGCAGTTTTTTATTCTTTACCCATTTTCCATTATTGTTCACTGAGAGCCTGCATAGCTTTTTTTAATACTCAGATAAACCAAGTTGCTCTTTTGCAATATGTACAGACTAAACCTGCCACAGACAGACATTACTAAGGCTGTAAGTGTTGCACTCTTTGAAGTCAAACACTTCTGAAATCCCGCCTTCCACAACATCAAAAGGTAGAACTAATCCAGGTACAGAAAATGGAGGTGACGGGATCCTTTGGTGGTTACTTGCTTTAAACTTAAAAGTACTTTAAGTTTTTTGTAATAAAGGTATGGTTGTTTGGGGCAGTTATCGATAGAATAAGTGACAGTCAGAGTAGATGATAGTAAAAAGCAGTTTGGGAGAAGAGAGTGCAAGGTAAGACAGCAGTCAACTCTCATATTGCCCAAACAACAGTGACAGGGTCAGAGAGCGTAGCAGAACCCTAACCTTGACGTTTATGTGCACAGACCAGCTCTTTTGTAGCTGAGGCAGCACTCTGCTCTCCTTGCACAGCCTCCTGAAGGCTGCTCCAAGTTCAGCTGGCACCCACAGCCACTGCAGCCTGTTCCTGCTCCTGGTGGCAGCCGTGTTTGAGACGTGCTCCTCACGCCCTCAGGACCCACTTAAAGCCCTGCTAACCCCACACATCTGCCAGACAAAGCAGCCCCTGGACAGGACAGAGCTCCTGGGGTCTCAAGCAGCCCTCGGGGAGCCTTGCAGCCACAGAGCTGGGCAGCACCTCCCCTGCTGCTGGCCCAGCAGGAATAAACTGAACACCCAGACCAAAACCTTACCGGGTGCATGCCATAAGGGAAAACTTGTCAGCTGGCTCAGCACCACCCAGTTCTAAGCCAAAAGCGCTGAAAGTCAGTACAATTAGAAGTTTTACATGCAACAGCTCCTGGACATGAGCAGTTTCACCCAGGCTTGCACTCAGCAAGCTGCAGATACCGCAGTGCTGCGCTAAGCAAAGCCGTGCAATGACTGGCACACAGCGCATGCAACACTTTGCTGCTTCACCTCCAGACATTTCTCCTGCGCATTGCATGCTGCTGCAATAAATGACTGCAGCTTCAGCACTGTCAATGCCCCAACACTCCCTAAATCACGTTTTATCCCCGAAGTCTTTTTTTTTCCTCTGACAGCCTCAGCATTCCAGAGAGTGGAAAGTACATAAAGGTTTCTGGCATAACAAATCATTGATTTACTACCTGGTATTCCACCTCCCCACAAAATCCCTCCTGCACGCATTCTCCCTGTGCCACGAGTTACTTGATTTCAGCACCGCACTGCCCTAACCTTGCAACTTGGCAGAAAACAAAGCCCAGGACTCCCTGCCACCCAGCAGCCTAATGAACCTGTCATTCTCTCCTCGCCTTTGTCAGCTGCTTGCCGGAGAACTGCTACAGGCAGCTTCACACACAACAGACAGAAGAGACTTGATTTGGGAAGCACTTAAGGAACACAAACACGAGGGGGGGGGAAAGATGCTGTAAGCATCGTCTTGAAGACTCAACTAGCTTCTAATTAGCGTTGTTGTGTTGTTTGCAAGGGACGCCCCGTGCCTCCTTTTACTCCACACGCACTGCGGTTACGCTGTGTTACTCCAACCATTCCCCGGATCCCAGCACGATCCGTATAAACTCAACCTTTCAACTTTCCCCCCGCACTGCCACCGCCACCTTAGGCTCAGCAGCAGCTTTCTCGACTCCCTGCAGCGCTGCTGGGAGGAAGGGACAGGGACGGGGATGTCGGATGCGAGCAGGCTGTGCCTGCATCCCCCTGGGCTTTGGTCACCCACCCAGATCACCGCACCCCCGGGCCCCTCATCCCTCCCCAGCCTCCTCCCCCATCCTGCAGGGGCCGCCTTGATGGGTTTCATCGGGCACAGCACCATCACGAAGGGACCCAAAAACCTCGTTTGGGGCCGCCAGGATCCAGCCCCACTATACCCAGTTCCCGAGCCGAGCCCCGCAGCCCTCTCCCCCCACCCCCCCGGCTTTTCTTGCACCACATCGCCCAAACAGCTACAAACACCCCCTGTCTTTATCCCTGCCCCCCAGGGGCACCCCATTCCCAGCCCAGACCCCTCTTTTCCCCCCGGGAGCCCCCCAAACCCCCCTCAGGCCGCCGCTTTGTCCCCGCACCCGGCCCCCCCGCCTGCCGCAGCGCCGACCCCCGGGGACGGGGCGGAACAGCGCTGCCTCAGGGGGATCTCGGGGGGGATCCCTGCGGGTCTGCAGCCCCCCGTGCTCCCCCAAACCCCCCGGTGTCCCCTAAAACCCCCGTGGCGGTGCCCCCCACCCCTCCACCGTGCGGTCCCGGCCGCCTCCCCCCGCTCGGCGCCGCGCTCCTGCATTGCGGCGGCCGCCCTACCTGCCGCGCCGCCCTCGCTCTCCGACATGGCCGGGCACCCTTCCTCCACCTCCTCCTCCACCTCCTCCTCCTCCTCCTCCTCCTCCTCCTGTCGCTCGGCCCGGCTCGGCTCGGCTCCCTCCCGGCCCCACCCCGGCCCTGGCAGGGGCGGCGCGGCCCCTCCCCGCCGCGGCAGGGGCTGATCGCGATACGGGGAGGAGGGGGGGGAACGGGGAGCTGCTGGGGGCGGTGGCGGCTCTGCAGGGCTCGAGGTGCCCTTGGCAGGGCTCTGCCACCCCCCCGGGATGAGCTCGGAGGGGATCACCGGGGGCTGCAGGACCTGGGAGAGAGACGCGGCCGCCGGCGCTCCAGCCGGGAGAGGTTGCCTAAGTGAGAAAAGCCGAGGGTAAAAATGAGGCTGGCATCCTCCCGGCCGCGATCCTGCGGCTGGAGGAAGTGTTTTCCTCTCTCCTTCCCCTGCTTCTGGGGTCTGTGCTTATTTCCCAGCCCCAGCAGCCGTGCGGGCTCTGACAGCGCTGCCCGCGGCTCCCACGGAGCAAATAACCGAGGGCAGGAGCTGCGAGCACGGCCTCAGCCCCTCCTGCCTCGGGACACCACCCTGACAGCCGGCACCGGGCTTTGTTAGGGTCACACAAAGCTTGTCCCGAGCCCTCCCATCGAAGCTGTCGCTGTGACGAGGCAGGATCCCGGGAAACCCTGGAGGAGGCGAGAAGCTTGAAGCAAAACCCTCCAGGCAGCAGCTGCTCACTCAGCACAGCCCTGGTTTTCCCCAGGTTTTGTTCCCTTTGAGGAGCCAAGGTGTGGCACGGAGGTAAAACCCCAGCAAACTGCTTCACACAGCTTCACACAGTGGCCTGCAGCAGCCCTAAAAAAGAAGATTGCCTCCCCAAACCTGCTGTCATAACCAGAGCCATTGCTCAGCTCCCCAGCTCGCTGCCTCCCAAAAGGATTTGCCAAGCCGCTGAGGAGCAGGGAGGGAAGGAGCACGCCATGAAGGCTCCCAGGACCAGCAGCGATTGAGCAGCTCATGGCATGAGGCTCCTCAGCTGCATGCGTGGTTCCCTGGGGAGATCCCCGGCCGCAGGGATCGCTTGTAGGATCTGCCAGGAGCAGGGCCGGCGTGCACTGGAATTGCTGCTGCCTGCACCATGCCATGCAACAAAGGGGAACATCTGGCCAATGGGCTGCTTTAATTACGTATTTATAGTCAGGCTGAATATTTATGCTGCCATTAAATGGCCTCGGAAATAAGAAACCAAACAACCCCAACGCTGGGTTTCCTGACAAGAGACTTAAATAGCAACAAAGTTTTGCTTCGGGTTAAATACGCTTCAATAGCAATTGATCGTACCCTTTAGAAGGCACTGAGATAATTAACAAAGGAAGGGGGAGAAGCAAAAGAAGCAATCAAGAAAAACAAACACAGACCTGAATCGTATACTCTCAAGGAAAAAAAAAAAAAAAAAATCATTATATGCAGGCTAGTCTTCCATGTGATGCTTCGAGCAACAAGACAACACACATAAAAATAGCATTTGCTGGGTACAGACATCTTTCCGAATGTCAAGGCAGTGACTACATTATTCAGTATCAAGCCAGGTTGCCTAAGTTACGCGCTCAGCTGTAGGTGTTTTGAATAATGCAGCAGGAGAATATTTGAACGCATGTGACTGCTGGTTTCAGAAATAAGACCCTTTCCCAGAGAGCTTAGCATCTCCTTTTCAAATCTAATGAGAGGAACCAAGTTAAAAAAAAAAAAAAAAATTAGACTCACAATCTAAAATATAAAACATTGGACTAAGACACCCTAAATTGTGTTTTGCTTTATATAGATAAAACTAAATCATGCTGAAAACTACAGAAAAATAAAACCAGTACATTATTTTTTCCTGTCAACTCTCTCCATTGAAAACAAATTAAAAATATATTTCATATGAAAGAAAAAACACCTTCAGAAAGGGTTACCATAACAAATAAGCCCACTCAGGGGCTGGAAACACTTTATTTTGATTCCTTGGGAAGTTTGTCACTTTTATGGTCATTCTTGATATGTTGTTTGGAGTCTGTGGTTTTAATGGTTGAAATTTTATAAGCATAACAGGAAACGAGTCTAAATATAATAAATAAAATGTAAGAGTACAGCAGATAGATTTTGAAAAGAACAGCAAAGTAAAGTCATCTGCATTCTCTGAACACCTGCTCTAATGAACACATAGATGAGCTAATTTCGCTTGTCCCCTACACAAGGTTCAGTTTCAGTACGGATCTGGAAAGAAATTTTTCTCCTTCTCAGTGAACCAACATCAGCTGGTTTAGTACATTGCAAGGGAGTAGCAGCACAAAGGAAGAACCTTTCTCTGACTCTGAAACGTCACAGTGTTTTTGTAAGACTACCAAGGCACCCATCAGCATTAAATTCAAGCACCTGGTCCTGTATTTATTACGGTATTAGTGTGACTATGCAGAGAAATGCGATTACCTGTGGACGCTTGGGATAGCCTTCTGCTCAAGTTCCCTCTCAAGCACCTACTCGGGATTGATACCTCTCAAACAGCAATCAAGAACAGTGATTTAATAGACTGTATTTTGCATCCACAGAGCACTTCTCCTAGGTGATTTCTAGAAAGCTGCAGCCTCAAACCATTCAATCCATCACACAAGGGGCTCAGATATGCCAGCATAAACTGACAGTACAGGAATAATAGCTGTTGAACCTCACTCTGATTTTAATGGAGCTACCACATAGATGTTAGGCATTAGCATCAATGAAAATTTCATGAGAAGGCTGAAGATCACTACAGTGCCCTCTCAGGGCCATATTCACATGTTGTGAGTGCTGCACCAAACTGTGGCCAGCCAGTGAAAAGAGCTACGTGCTTCTCACACATGATGATGGGGATTCGGCAAGGCGCTGCTGGGTAGCACTGAGAATCAGCAAGCTGAAGACGCGAGGCACAGAGACCTGGAAGGAATGCAGGCATCTGGATATTGCTTTTAATGCGTCTGACAGCAAGATGGACAGATCTTGTTACAGACGTGGAGATCAGTGTGCCACATACCCAATACCAGCACCAGGGAAAGTGGGATCTTTAAAAGCCACAAAGCATTTAAAGCAAAAGAAGCGAGGGTAGGTAATAATTCCTCCTGTACTGGCAGCTCAGGAATCCCTCAAAACGCTATGTCTACCTGCTCAATTAAAATACCTAGGGTAATGGTTGCATACTGCAAAGACTCCTCTGAGGTACTTTCTGGAGCACCATTAAACGTATAATACCTGATGTTTTTGTCATCTGCGCAGTTACTGCAATCTCCTCCTTCTTTCCAGCTGTATGGTTTTCCACTTTGCAGCACTTTTACCTCTCTAGCTTTGCATATTGGTTTGCGTACTAATAACTTAGAAATTAACTTCATTACTGAGCCAATTGGCAATCTGTGTTTTCCTAGATGGAGTTGATATCTTCCCCTTTCCTCTTATTTTAATACTCAAGAAATCTTTATAAAGACAAGAAGAAAAGCTATTCAGCACTATCACAGCTTTTCAATAGAGAAATACTATGAGCACATACAAATATGAAGGGTTTCTTCAAAAGAACAGGTTTATGCAGTTTTCGCCTCTCTTTTATACATTTCTCGTTCCTGGTATGCCAGCATCAGTTGGAAATGCTCATTCTCAGAACAGAACCTGCACAGGATTCTTCACCGTTTCACAGCAGGAGGTTTCTGCAACAAACCTGCTGTGCTGTAGGTACTGAAAGTGCAGGTCTGGTGCCCATGAATCTCTGGCAATACATTACTCATTTGGAGAGTACTTTCAAACACGGACAGGGAAGCCCAATACTAACCACTGCTTCCACTGTTTTTGTTGTTGTTTTGTATTTACACCTTTTTTACAAACTATATAATTTAGATATGCTGAATGCTGCACTGTCTCTCCAGTGGTAACACACAGTAAATATTCAAGAGTTTTATTGTGGATCCCAACACTAGGAACGTGCACAATGCAAAAGATGGATTGAGTCCCAAAAAGTTTCCACTCACATTGTATGTCCTGAACTCAATTCTTCCTTAAATTCACTGTTCTTCTTCTACCTTGGTTGTATAAAAAATAAATTATTTAACTTCATGAGATCACACTGTTCTCATTTCCCAAAAGTAACAAAGCTGCATGTGCATCAACCCGTAAGCCTAGCTTTGTTATCTGGTTCCTGTGAACATAAACAGTGATTAAATAAGTAATGAGCACATTGGTCTCTACTGAAGTGAACAGAAGTGGCAGGTGACTACAAAAAAAAAAAAAAAAAAAAAAAAAAGCAGCAGCCACCTGCAAAAATGAGGAACTCCAGTTTGGGCAGACCAAAATCCTGCATACGCTACTTCTTCTGGCCTCTGCTCAAGGGAATGCATTGGTACCCCTCAGGAGGCATGTCCGGGTGTTGTTGTGCACAGCCATACTTTCAAGACTGCTTCACTGAACTAAATGGCAATACCAAATTTGCAGTGTTATTTGTAGTGTGAGTAGTAACTTGGACCCTTAAAAATATCCTGTACCAGACTGATTATAATGAATTTGACAGTGTAAAGGAGAGCCAACTCAGAAAATGATCAACCTTGACAAGTCACAGAGGAGCATAATCTCTCATTGTGCACCTGTGATACATAAAAACATCATCACAGAAAGATATCAAACATTTACAGTTACCAGGCTCCTACCTGGTCCAATTCCTGTTGTTCAAGTAAATATTAGAAAGAAAAGGCAACACATTGAAAGATAGGCAGCACAATTAACACGATGCTCCAAATAAACTTTATCCAAGGGGAAAACTTGAAACTAGAAGGATACACAGCTTCCACAGCTTCATTACTCATAGGGAAACTGTCACTGAGGTTCCATGTGGGTACACGTCAGGTTGGTTATGGGTGGTGTTTTTCCTAAGCCATTTGAGAAACTGTGTGGCAAATACATAAATATAAGGATATCAACCTAGATCGTCAAGATTAGTACAGAATGGATCAGAAGAGTGGGCACTACAGCACACATTAGATTACATCCATCTCACCCCGTATCTGGGAGGTATAAGTCATCGCAGACAGATACATGTAGAGAGGAATAAAGCAAGCTTAAAGGCCAA